AAAACTCTTTTTCTGTGTCTGGACCATCAGAATTACAAATCGGCTACAAACACAGCATCTTCTTGCTGCTGCTAGTCCAGTTTTGTCTTAGTATTCATCACCTAGCTTTGTAAGAGCTAGGTGCTCTCTCAGCATGAGAAAATAAAAATCTGTCTCAGAGTCAAGGCAGGGGTAAAGCAGAGAATACGAACTTGCCCCACTTCAAAGCACAAGGCATATCTTTCAACTAACTAAACAGCAATCCCAGCAGGCATGACAATACAAGCTTTCTTCCCTATTGTTGTTTGAAACAATCACAAGCTATTTGTTCATATTAATTAGTTTATATGTAGTATTAGGCAGCCTTGATTAGAAAAATGCTCTTTGTTACTAAATGAATAGAGTAACAAACAAAACCAAAAGCTTTTTAAAAAAATTGTTGTTTTGGCCTTAGAAAAAGATTTTCAGGCCTTTCACACTTGAATGTGGATTTATCTTTACAAAGTCCCTGAATTCACTGGAAAAGAATGCAAGTTGATGTGCCAAACAATACCAGGCTAAGGTGACTGAGTGAGCTGCTTATTATGCTTTGCCTAAGAAGATGCTATATCTAAATTATTTTTACCTTCTTTGAACATGGGCAAAACTGAAAATAAGGGAGAAGACATCAGTAGAAGTTTCAGGGCAAGGGCAAGTGAGCCTTGAACTAAATTTGACTGTACAAATTACATGCGAGGAACTGACATATAATTAGGAGGTCCATCACTGGCCAAAGGATCCTGGGAACCAAGTGACCCAATAGTCTGCATCTCTCCAGAAGAAGCTATCTATCTCTACGACCTAATGCCCGAGTGTATAGCTGGCTCCTTCCCCGTGGGCTTAGTTCCCGAACCATCAGAGGCTGCCACTATTCCCAAAATACAGCAAGGATAATGGAACTACCCTGGTTAAAGTTAATTAACAGACTTGCTCAATAAAACAATTATCGAAAGTCAGGACTTGAACCCAAGTCTATTTCAAAGGCTGGGACCATTAAGCTAACACAGATTTCTTTAAGATCAATGTTAAATTTGTTAATATGGTTTGAAAGGCCTTGTAAAATCTCCAATTTTATAATCTAACCTATTTATGCTAATTGAAGCATTTGCCAATTTCTGCAGTGTAACTATTTCATATGGCTGATTTCAAGAAACTAGCATGAAGTCCACTGGCTCACAAAATTCCTGAAAATTTAACAATCCGCCTCTGTGAGTTGGTATAGGTGGCTCTAGGGACATTACTGTTTACAATCTCAGACCCCACTGTAGTGCAACCATCCAAAACAGAATTCTAAATGCTTTGCTCTCTCTCTCTCTCTCACACACACACACACAAACACACACACACACACACACCACCCTGGGACACTTGACATTTACCCATGCTTTTTCTTCTCTTTTACCAAGATAACCCATATTCATTTGTTCTCAGCCTAGTGGTCTTCCTTCAGGAAGTCTTCCCTGATCCTCTAAATCTTTTCCGGGTTCTCCACTTTCCTCCTAGAGCACCCATACTTCCTGTATTTGTGCATTCCTGCATTGGTGACAAAACCTTGTAACTTTTTGTTTTATCTGTATATCTCCCACTTATCTCTAAACTGTGGCAGAGCAAAACTTATTTCTCTTACTTATTCTTGTATCCCCCAGGCCTGCCACAAGGCTTGCTGAACAATAATAACAATGCTTGCTAACACACACTGGGCAATATGCGCCCAGAATATGTGCCAGGCACTATTCTGAGTTTTATAGAAATTATTTCATTTCCTCCTTAAAATAACCCTATCAGGTTGGCTTCATTATTACCATGCTCATTCTGTGGGTAAGGAAATAGGGGCACTAAGAGGTTGGATACCTTCCCCTCAGGCTCAGGTAATTAGTAAATCGAAGCAGGATGACTGGTGAGCCTATGTTTCTCCCTCAAGAAACCAGTGTTTCTTGGCCACATTTTTTTCTCATTAGTGATCCTTAAGGAGAAAAATTAATTATATTTAAATTTTCTGTAACGAGAAAAAACTAAATACTAAGGAATAAGATTTTGTTGGATAGAGGTATAAGTTTTGGAGGAATTTTTCTCATCTCCCAAAATCCAGTTTTTGTCCTCTTGAGGCAATATCACTATGTTAAGAATGTATGTTCTAGGACTTTCATTATCCATTTCCATTAATGTACCATATATTTGTCCCTAAAAATACACAGTCTTGTTTTAGAATTTTAATGGTAGCTTCCCATAAGTACTATTTTCATCTTGCTTTCTTTTTCTTCCATACGATATCTTGGAGTAATATATGGCTGTGTAGATATCCTCATTTTAAAACCACTGAATAGTGGTCAGGCGCGGTGGCTCACGGCTATAGTCCCAGAACTTTGGGAGGCCAAGACGGGCGGATCGCCTGAGGTCAGGAGTTGAGACCAGCCTGGACAACACAGTGAAACCCCGTCCCTACTAAAAATACAAAAATTAACCGGGCATGGAGGCACATGCCTGTAATCCCACCTGCTCAGGAGGCTGAGGCAGGAGAATCGCTGGAATATAGAAGGCGGAGGTTGCAGTGAGCCAAAATTGCGCCACTACACTCTAGCCTGGGAAACAGAGCAAGACTCTGTCTCGGAAAAAAAAAAAGAAAGAAAGAAAAAAGAAAAAGAAAAAAGAAATAAAATGACTGAGTAGTATTTCAATCATGTCCACATTCCTGAATTCATTAAGTATTTCTACTATTGGATATTCACAAACTTTTGTATTTCTTGGTTTGCAACCAATGCTTCAATGAATATCTTTATATACTCCTTGGGCTCACGTGTGAGTGCTTTTCTAATGTAGATTCCAAGACAGCAGCAGGGCATGTGCAGTAATGTATAATTTGAATAGATACTGTTGAATTACCCTCCAGAGTAACTGTACCAATTTACTTTCCCACAGAGAATTTTCAAGAGTACACATTTCCCCCAGTAATTGTATGAAATAGAACCTCTTTCTCCTTTGAGCAGTGTTAAACATTTTAATTAAATGAGTCATTTAGAGGTATTTCTATTCCTCACCAGCCGATAGGAGCTTGTGTAACAGAGAAGATGTATAGATAAGAAGAAGCTGTTGGAAATGCTGACAGATGACAGCAGCAACACCGGGATGTGGAAATGCCTTGTCTAGAAAACCTGCACTAGCCTAATTCACTTCACAAAAGGACTAAGAAGAGTCATTACATGGGAACAGCTTCTGTGGACTTTGAAATGGTGACCTCAGGTAACAGGCACTAAATCTCTTTGCCCATTCTCCAAGTCTCTCGGATACCAAAAAAGTCTACTGAAGATAAGGGAAACCAAACACCCAAAGTAAATGAAGTGTTGAAAGGACAATGGTCCACTTACCAGAAAGAGAAATGCATATGACGATGGTAACACTAAACATTCTGGAAAATAATACTGAAGGCCTTGGTACTTTATTCTGTATTCATATGATATGAATAAAGGGCTTTATTCATAAGATAAAATCCCAAGGTGGATAACAATGATGACATCCCAAATGGTGCTGAGGAGAAAACACTATACTATATGAAGGAAAAATGCCCCTTATTCTCCTTTTTCCCTCTCCTTCTTCTCTCCCTCTCTCACAAACACAGAAACCTCTATTAAAATACATACAAAATTGAAGAGCCTGCAAAATCATACTGAAAAAAACAGTGTGGAATAACGTTCTGTATCAAGTTCAAATTTCAATCAATATGGCTCTTTCTTGAAAGTATGCTTTTTTCTTCAAAGCTACCCGAGGCTGGGCACAGTGGCTCAGGCCTGTAATCGCAGCACTTTGGGAGGCCAAGGAGATGGATCATTTGAAGTCAAGAGTTCAACACCAGCCTGACCAACATGGTGAAACCCCATCTCTACTAAAATACAAAAATTAGCTGGGCTTGGTGGCAGGCGCCTGTAATCTCAGCTACTCGAGAAGCTGAGACAGGAGAATCGCTTGAACCCAGGAGGCAGAGGATGCAGTGAGCCAAGATCACACCACTGCACTGCAGCCTGGGTACCAGAGCAAGGCTCCCTCTCAAAAAAATAAATAAATAAAAATAAAGTTGGCCAAAAATTGATTGTCACGAATGAGAGAGGAGGTCACACTATAGAAAGAAGATAAATGAAGAGTAAATGGGAAACTACACTTCCTGGGCACCTCTGTATGCCTCATGTATATAAACCATCATTTAATCCATGTAACCATCATGTGAGGAACGATTACATGAGAGAGGTCTGAAGCTGAGAGAGGTTGGCATAACTAAGGCTTTTTATCCCGCAATCAGAGGAGCAGGGATGTGAACTGTGGCCTTATGACTCCAAAGTCTGTTTCCACATTGTACCCTGCTGCCTGCTGAATCTGAAAGAGTCCAGTGAATGCTTGATTAAATCAGGCTGTAAAATCATCCGAACAAAGACCATGTCCCTGCCGTATTACTGCTCTTCACTGGACAGAAAAAGATAACTCATACGATTGCTGTTCAGAAGTTTCTGGAATCGCATTTTGTTTTCAAAGTTCCTAGAACAGGTCAAGGCAAAAGAGTAAGTATAGGAGGAGGACGACAAGACAGCCCTCAAAAAACTTGTTAAAGTTAGATCCATTCTGATATATTTCATTAAACCTCACCCCAACCCCCAGCCCACAAAAAAAGCCAAGAGAGGAAAAGCAGCAGGGTTTACTACTGACTTATTTTGATTTAGAGTGTGATGCCTATAGTGACAGTCGGGCATCCTAAGCACTGAAAACCAAGGCCTCCTATGAACAGAGGCCAGTTCACTAAAATCACTTGTTCATTGTTCCAGCTGCTTCCTGAACTAAATGGTACCTCACTCACAAAAGCACCATTATTCAAATACTCACCAAATGATAGCGAGAGAGATATACATGATCCCTAGAGTCAAACACACTTCCTGAAACCCAGTTTAAATATTTGACAAACTTATGATTACGTCAGACCTCTGCTAGTCTGAAGCCCTTACCTGGGGCTGTGAAATTACAGGGATGGAAGTAGAGATGGCAGCCATGACAGCTCTGTGGTTGTAGATGGTGAATAGGCCCCAGAACTACGGGAGACAAATGTTCTTGTTTGCTGATCAGATCAAGGTCATGCTAGGAGAAGCTGTGTATCTGGAAAACAACAGGAAAACCCACATTTAGCATAAAAGGACTAGCATATGGGTGTGAAGTACCGTTGGCCAAAGGAGGTAAGAATCCCTAGAGTCAAGTTTCAAATACTAGTTTAATGCAAACAGAAAGCCTGTAGGGAAAAGCTAAGGTCTAAAAGCCATGACTTCTGTGCTATCTGTCCAAATACTCTTAAGTTGAGGAATTTTCATAGGTTTGAATCCAACATGCCAGGTAGATGTTTTGGGAAGACAGTTTCAAGTTGCAGAGCCGGGGAGGGTGAGTCGGTGGGAAAAGCCATCCTGCCATTAAATAATAAAGGAATTGAATAATCCATAGTGGAGAGCTGATGGCTTACAACGAGGGCAAAGGGAATGCAGTAACCACCCCCACTTATCTGAGGAGTGGATTCTAAGCCCCCCAGTGGATACTTGAAACTGTGGATAGTGGGTTAGGCGTGGTGGCTCAAGCCTATAATCTCAGCTCTTTGGGATGCCGAGAGGGAAGGATTACCTGAGGTCAGGAGTTTGAGACCAGCCTGGTCAACATGGCAAAACCCCATCTCTACTAAAACTACAAAAAGCAGTCGGGCATGGTGGCACGTGCCTGTAATCCTAGCTACTCAGGAGGCTGAGGCAGGAGAATTGCTTGAATCTGGGAGGTGGAGGTTGCAGTAAGCCAAGATGGCAGCACTGCACTCCAGCCTGGGTGACAGAGCGAGACTCCATCTTTAAAAAATAGAAAAAGAAAAAGAAACTGCGAATAGTACCCAACCTTGTAAATAACAGAGACAGTTACTAAGTGACTAATGTGCAGGTAGCATAGGTGGAGATGCAGGACAAAGGGATGAATCACATGGACAGTAAGAGATTTCACCCACACTATTCAGAATGGAGTACAATTTACAACTTGTGAATTGTTTATTTCTGAAATTTTTCATTTAATATTTTTGGACCAAGTTTGACTGCAGGTAACTGAAACCGTGGAAAGTGAAACTTCGGATAAGGGTGGACTACCATAATACCGTCAAGTAATTAGATTTCACCCAGTCCAACCCCACCTATTTGCAGAAGAAAAAATTGAGGCTTAGAGAACAAAAGGGACTAGAGTCACACATTTAATGGTAGGATCAGTACTACAGCAGCAACTCCAATTCCCAGGCCTATATGAAACATAACAAAGTGAATGTGTTCCCTGCCTATATTTACTCAAGGAACTTAGTCACCGCTTTTAAGACTAAAGAAAGGCAAGATACCTGATGCTGTAGGAGTCAGTCCTGAGAAGTCAGGTACTCAGACAGGTGGATGGGGAGCTTCATAAATCAGATGTCCACCTGTGTGAGAAAGAGAACATTTCTAAAATCCTTTTGACATCCTCAAAGAGAGGATGCTAAATAAGCACAAAGTATAACCAAATCTTCTCTTATTCACATGTTCATTAAGAAAACTCAGAGATGCTAACTTCCGCACACTAAATCACGGCCCTAGTTCTGTCCAAAGGCTGATGTGACTCTTTCCACATTGCAATTTAGTCCAGAAGAAAAAAATTTTTCATTTTAAGAAAAGAATTTTTAAAAATTCTTTCATTTTTAAGAAACATTTTCATTTTCTGGTGATTTTCATACCCCCTAACAATATCCTTTCTTTTATTCAAAGACGTTATTGGCTGGGCACAGCAGCTCACGCCTGTAATCTCAAAACTTTGGGAGACCAATGGGGGCAGATCATTAGAGGTCAGGAGTTTGAGACCAGCCTGACCAACATGGTGAAACCCCATCTCTACTAAAAATATAAAAATTAGCTGGGTGTGGTGGCACATGCCCGTAATCTCACCTACTCGGGAGGCTGAGGCAGGAGAACCACTGAAACCCAGAAGGCGGAGGTTGCAGTGAGCCGAGATCATGCCACTGCACTCCCGCCTGGGCAACAGAGTGAGACTCCGTCTAAAAAAAAAAAAAAAAGAGTTAGTTATTGAGCATCAATAGGGAACTGGGCGCACAAGAAGTAAGGCTAAGCCAACCTTGCCTTTAAGGAGCTTTTGTCAGTAAATACGCTTTCTAGTTTTACCAGCATGCAAGATGATACCTGAACACCTTTTTTCTCTTTTTTTTTTTTTTTTTTAAGACAGAGTTTTTGTTGCCCAGGCTGGAGTACAATGGCCCGATCTCGGCTCACAGCAACCTCCGCCTCCCAGGTTCAAGCAGTTCTCCTGCCTCAGCCTCCCGAGTAGCTGGAATTGCAGGCATGCAGCACCACGCCCGGCTAATTTTGTTATTTTTTTTTTTAAGTAGAGATGGGATTTCTCCATGTTGACGCTGGTCTCGAACTCCTGACCTCAAGTGATCCGCCCGCCTCGGCCTCCCAAAGCACTGGGATTACAGGCGTGAGCCACCGCGCCTGGCTACCTGAACACTTTTTAAACTATTGGGAAATGATAATTTTCATAATAGTAAAAGTAATGAACCAGAGGTCACAAGATCCAAATCTTGTATGCTAGGAACTGTGCAGTTAGACATTTAATCCAAGTCCTTTGTCCCCCAAATCCCATGGTGCTACCCTATATTAGTTCAGGAATACCAGGCAAATGAGAGGCTCAGAAGTGCTGCTTTTCTAAGAAATAATCTAGGTTTGACAGCAACTTTTATAAGCTTAAATTTTTAATTGCTACATTTTTGTGCAGTATCCTTCATACTACAGTTTCAATCACTTTAGGTTCTAGCTGCTTAGAACTATAGAGCCTTCCTATTTTCTTCTCCCATTCGAGCAATTATTTTCATTGACAAATAAGTAGTAAAGTTATCAAGCTATCTTGTCATGACATTCAACAGCAAATTCCACAGCTGCCCTGTGACAATACTGATGTTCTCCTTAGTCCCAGTTATAGGAACAAATAAGACTTGTTTATCACACTGTGAAAGTAAATAAACAACCCAGGAGAAAAGTATATGTATACAGGACCTTTCTTTTTTCAAGATGACTGCTAGAGTGCCGAACTTACCCAAGAAAATTACAGGAACCCCAAGGTGCACTGTTTTATATTGAACTTATTCCTGGCATTATTTTTTGCCCACTCCTACTTTCATTTTTCCTTTCTCCCTCTTATGTATTTATAATTCACATTATCTTGTTCTATGTGACATAAATGAATATATCAATAATATAACTATAAAGCAAAAAATCAAGCACACAAGATTCCATTCTTAAGGATACATACTATATGCTCAGGTCTAACATCATTTCACCAAGCTATGTCATTAAGCAATAGAACCTTAAAATATATTCAATATTCAGAATATAGAGAGTTGCCTGAAAGGTAAATAGAGGCAGCTAGCTTATAGTAAGGAAAGCGATATAGAAATGGATGAGATCCACCAAACAAATATGTCATATGGCGTTATTACTAACAACAGCAGAGGGAAAGATGGGAGACTGGGATTTAATGAAAGGCCACTGGATGCTGAGCTTTGGAGCAGTAATTTACCCTAGAGTTTGAAGCAGATACTATTCAATTATTTTACAAGGGAGACATCTGAGGCTTTGAAAGGTATTGTGAGATTATGCAACATACCCCCAGTCACACAGTCAGGAACTGAAAGAGCTGAGGCATGAACCAGGGTCTACGCTAAGATTCACACTCTTTCCACAGGCCAATACTCCAAGTGATCAAAGATTAAAAAGAGATGGAAAGCATGTGGAATCTTTAAGCAAAAATGTCAGATAAAAAAATGGAGAAAGTAGGATGAAAGTCAGATGACTTGCAGAGTGACCCTGAGACAGAGAACCTTGTGCTCCTCTCATCTATATAAAATTTTAATCATGTGACCCTCATTTGGATGTTTCATTTCCTTCAGACGCCTAATAAACATGACAGATGGTTAGTTTCACATTTTCAAGAAGAAAATAAGACAGAAAATTAACTGCCTTCTCCTAAAACATGAGACATGTCTAATTTTGTTGAACCTATTCACACATTACGAGATTGCTTTATAAAATAGCGTATGGTTACTTTGCCAAATACAAGGGCTAAATGACATTTAACTTCAAAGGTACAAATCAGTTTTCTTTTGGGGGCAAAGTCTTGAAATTATATTATGAAATCTATTTGCTTCTCAACTTATTTACGAAACTGCACAAATCATGGGGGAACTAAAGACAAAAAAGACATCACCCTAAGTAATCACGCCATGCAGTATCTAGCTGAGCAAGCTGGTTCGCTTTGACAGACAAACTCCCTGCCTTACCAGAGCCCCAGACTGTCAACTAGAGAGTTGCACAATAATTTTTAAGGAAATACACCCCGGGCAGGGCGTGGTGGCTCACATCTGTAATCCTAGCACTTTGAGAGGCCGAGGAGGGTGGATTATGAGGTCAGGAGTTCAAGACCAGCCTGGCCAAGATAGTGAAACCCCATCTCTACTGAAAATACAAAAAAGAAAAACAAAAAGAAAAAGAAAATTAGCTAGGCATGGTGGCAGGCACCTGTAATCCCAGCTGCTCAGGAGGCTGAGGCAGAGAACTGCTTGAATCCAGGAGGCAGAAGTTGCAGTGAGCCAAGATCACACCACTGCACTCCAGCCTGGGCAACAGAATGAGACTAAGAAATATACCCCTCTGAACTCTTCCAAGTACTTCGACACCTGTGCTGCAACTCTTCTAGCCTGCCATCAACCTAACTCTCCATTTCCTTTGCTTGAGCTTCAAAACTATGTTCTAGGCATAGAAAACCATGAAGCAATGTGGGTTTGCCCGGCTGACATCAGGCTCTCCAACTGCCCTTGGAGCATTACTGTTGCCCCTTCTCTTCTTTCCTAGTTGTCTCCATTTTCTATTCTCCTAGGCATCTCTTCTCATCTATATTTCTCTTCTCAAAACCGTAAAATTACCTCTAATGCCTCTCACTTGCAAAAGATGAGCTTTGTCATCTATTTATTTATTGGATCATTCATCCATTCCTTTACAATCACTGGGTCTAAATTACCTCAGTATCCCCCTACAATTCAAATCTCATGTATAAAATACAATTTCCAAATAAGAAAGCTATAAGCGTATTTTTTTGTGCCAGATTACCAAAGAAATGACCAGCTGATTATAAGACAGGAAATATCCTGAATCAGCTCTGGAAACTAGAGATAGATCTTAAACATTCAGAAATATATACTTGAAAGAATCAACATGGGAGGTTGACAAAAGGACTAAAACATGATATCCTCTTCATGTGAAACTGCAACTGCACGACCAGAAAATAAGCAAATGAGAATCCACCAAACCCATAATGATACCCCTAGTTCAGTGGGATGGGGGCGCTGAAGCCCAGGGAGACTCGGGGTACATTTAAAATACACTAACTCCTTTAAAAGGGTTCCTGGCTTCAGAGGCCAGCCAAGCAAGTAACCTCTGGTTGCATTTACTTCTGGTTGACAGGTGGCTATGATGACTACCACGGAAAACACGTGGGAAAAAGACACTCCCAGCTGGCTCCTGGCAACGGCAGCCACGCCAAGTGACAATGACCTTGCTAATTACTGAGTGCCACACCAAATACCTAAAAGAAAGTCTCTGGTTTGAGGCAAACTTCCCTGTGATTACTTCTGGAACTGATGCTGGCACTTTTCCCAGGCCTCACAGGAATATGAATTCATAATTGGTAAATTAATCTACTACAAATGTAACCTTTTTCCTTTGTCTGGACTTGAGTCAAATAGTGACTCATCCAAGTTTCTTGAAAGAACACAGGGTTGCTAACGCATGCGGGGCTTAAAACCTAGATGAGTTGATAGGTGCAGCAAATCACCATGGCACATGTATACCTATGTAACAAACCTGCATGTTCTGCACATGTATCCCGGAACTTAAAGTAAATTTTTAAAACAAAAAGAGAAGGAAGGAAGGAAGGGAGGGAGGGAGGGAGGGAGGGAGGAACACAGGGCAATACCCGATACTGAATATGCGTTGACTTCCCTAAGGATAAGCAAAGGAGAAAAATCTAAATCCACCAAGCCAATAGAATACATTATGGTTCAAAAAAGGGGAAGATTCTAGAATCAGAGAAAATATTTACTTAAGAAATAGGTATACTACATAAAAGAGAAAACTCTATTAACAGAAAATTTCTAGCTCATGTTCTTAAAATTCCAGGGGACATAGCAGAATCTTTGCACATAGAGCAGGTAGTCATAGAAAGAAACGTGAGACCAGAAAAGAGTGTGTGTTAACCAGAAAAGAAAATCTGAATTATGAACTTGAATAAAAGCAACCAATGAAGCAGAAAGTAGAATATTTTTAAAAAGCAAAAAATAAAATTAGTGATGCAAAAGATAAAACAGACTTTTCAGAG